GACGATTTTTGTGTATGCAATTGTTGTTGTCAGCTGTGAACCGCTAAAGGCCCGTCCACATAGGACTTTGGCGTTGCTTTAGCGTTGGCGTCGCTTCAACAGCTGACTATGAATACATGAATTCAAATGCAGCTGTCCACATAGCCAAAATTCGACAACGCTCACGCCAACACAAAACAAAAAGATGGCCAACTCTCAACTTTTCGAGTGCGTCGCTCGTCAGCTGTTGCAAATAAATAAAATTATGTGAAATATTTTCCTTTTTAATCAAGTGCGGGCAAGAAATATCGTTTTTAATGCAATTATTGATATTAAATATTAATTTATCTGTCGTTAGTATGTTAATTTAGTGGCCCAAGCATTCGCTGACAAGCGTTCATTGTAGCAAGCATACTTTTAACGTGCGTTCTGTCAAACCAACGCCAACGCCAAAGCCAACGCGAAAGTTCTATGTGGACCGGCCTTAACTCAATTTACACAGACGAACGACAGCACAAAGCGTGTTGCCCGAGCACGAGCAACTCGGTGCCCCTCTCCTTTCCTCGTCGCGCTCTCTCCAACAAACGACGAGTTGCGGCAACAAAAATCGCCGTGTGTAAATGAGTATCGTATATGGCGCCTTTACATTAGACAATGCCATGAACGAAAGACACAAGATCACGTAAGAACAAGAGAATGAAAAAAGTCGATTTTTTTAGCGGGTTCTACCCATCTTGTTTCACTGGAAAACGAGCGAAAAGTAAACAAAGCAAAGAAAACAACGAAAACACGAAACTTATAACTTATAACTTATAATAACAGCGAAAAGTTTGCTCTCAAAAGTGGAACAAAGTCCAGAAGTATGGAGGCGCAAAACACCACATTTCGTGCCCAGAATTTGAGAAACAGCAGATTCATGCTATTTTTGTTTCTGTCACTTCAATGCAAAGCTTGGAAATTGAGTTTTTGTTTCATAAATTTGATTTAAAGTACATATATAAAAATTGATAATACATTAACAGGCCATTCATTATTTCTTAAAAGCACCAAGTAAATGCAGGCAACGTGTAAACACAAAACGGCTCATATGCACTTTGACACTTTAGACCGACATCGAAAACATGTTTTCGTTGGTAAAACTGGTTTTCGACCTAAAACTTGTGTTTTCGTCCATGTAGAATCTGTCAAACGAAAACTAGTTTTCGCTGAAAACCACTTGAAAACTCACGTTCCACTCATTCCAATCGGTGTCTGCACTAGTTTTTTTGGATTATATATCGAAGTGGAAGTCATATTTTATCATCTTTAATACGTAATTTCGGATTTATTGTTAATTGGCTGGCCAAAATAAAGTAAGTATGGAAGTAAAAGGTCGCTAATGAAAAGAAATTGAAGGAAAAGTATTTTGGTTTTGTTTTTGTGTAGCAAAACTGTAAACAAAGGATGAAAGAAATGTCAACGATAAAACCAACAGTCGGTGTGAACAGCCTTCAGCTCACAATCCCAAAGCTCGTTTTCAACTTGCAGGAAGAAAAACTTCGGACTAAAACCTGCAACTTCTGACTGAGAGAGAGAGCAAGTTACTCTCACAAAAGGGGTTTGACTTACAGGTTTTTTCGGCACCTGGAACGCTTTCCTGCAAAAAAACCTGCAAATCGTGAATATCGTGAGCACCTGGAACGCAACTACTTTGTAAACGAGTTTTGGTATTGTGGGCTCAAAACTGTTCGCACCGGCTGTTAGAGTTTTCGTTGACATTTCTTACACCTTTTGAATACAGTTTTGCTACACAAAAACAAAACGAAAATACTTTTTCTTCATTTTCTTTTCATTTACAACCTTTTACTTTTATTATTATTTTACTTTGGCCAGCAATTAACAATAAAACCGAAATGGCGTATTAAAAATGATAAAATATTACTTCTACTTCAATAAATAATCGAAAAATACTAAAGGCACCGATTGGAATGAATTGAACGTGAGTTTTCAAGTAGTTTTCAGCGAAAACTGGTTTTAGTTTGACAGATTTTACATGGACGAAAACACAAGTTTTAGGTCGAAAACTAGTTATAGTATCGAAAACATGCTTTCGATGTCGGTCCGAACATGGTATGAGAAGCTTGGTTTGCAAATCAAGCAAATTAAATAGTGTACTTACAAATATTTATGTAAATTAGTTCAAAATAAAATGAAATAAAAAAGAAACCGAGTTTATAAAAACGTTGTAAAAATTAGTACAACGGAGTAATGATGCATTAAAATGCTTTAAAATGTGTTGTCATGTTGAAATAACTATTCTTTAGTCAAATAAAGTGGAAAAGTGTAGTACTTGTGATGTAAACAAACACTCAGGTGACGAACCCGCTTCCACGATTTTTTTTCCCAAAACCAGTTACAAATACAACGTCGCGTTCTTATGTGATCGTATAGTTTTGGTTCATGGAAATAGCCAGTAAAGCGTGTGGAACAAACTTAATGAAGTGTGGCAGCACTGCTTTAATGACAATTTCACTGTCCAAAATGTGGAAGCAACATTTGTGGATGACATGTTGCCGAAATCTAAGGGATGCCAGACTTTTGGTTGCTTGTTATTATAGAAATGCTTTTGGAGTTTTCCTATCAAACGATTTAACAAACATATCCTTTGAGCTATTTGCTATAATTTTCAGAAAGTTTTTGTTCAAATTTCTTTGTCTGAATAGTTAACAAGAAAACGGATTTTTGTTTAGCAGGAAGTCCCACGGAATTGGCAACACTGCTTGAGTGAATGCATTTGTTTTGTTGCTGGAAGTTCATTTGTTGCTGAGCGAGCGTTGAGATCGGTTGTGTAGCGTTTGGCGCGGTTGCAGTTGGCATTTGTGTGGCTCAATTTGGGGAAAGATTCAAATTAATTTGAAATACATATATTGATAAAACCGTTTGACCGGTGGACTAGCCCGGCCATAACAAACGCTACAGCTAAAAAAAAATAAAACCGTTTGAACGTGAATTATACTAGTAAGAAAAAAATGGTTCGAACGCCAAAAAAAAATCATAAAATGAAGTTGATTCGTGGATTATTCATAAAATGAAAAAAAAACTGGAACTGAGTCAAGTTTACCGCCATCTTAGATAAAAGTTCCAGGTGTTTGAAGTTGTTTTTAAGATTACATAATGTAAATATAGTACATAACGTTAAGATATGCAACGTCTAATAAACTTTGTGAAGTGTTAAAACTTTGACTCCATTCTTCGTAGTATCTTTTTGGCTAACAACCACTAATATAAAAAAATAAGAGAGAATTTTCATATTGTGTAAAGTTGAACGGCGACGCCTCCATTGGCAGCGCATTGCGTATCGGTGTGTGCAAAGCGACTGTGTATTTGCGTCAAAAGTGTGTGCTCATGTTAACCACTATTTCTACCTGGATTTACCTGTTTAAAGTAGAAATATGTTCAGTAAAGAAGAAACGTAAATGTGAAACCAGTTAAAAATAAATAAATTAAGTATCACCGAGTAGCAGAGAGCCAGCCTGGAAACTTAATTATTACGTTCGTTGGTCAATGTATTTGTTGGAATTTTCCTTTTGCTAATGAAAGCAGAGTTGAAAAATACTATATGTATGTACCTACTACGTATACGTGCGTACATACATACAAACAAACACTGTAACGACCAAGTGGAGATATCTTGAATATTGAGTTAATCTGCCTCTATCATTGTGTAAATACATAATTTAGTACAAACGAATGTGCGTTGCCGTGCGCCTTATTATATAGAGTTTTTATATTTGTTTATAGCGGCGTTTCCATGAAAATGCAGTCGGCGCATTCAACAACAAAACAAACATCAAAGTGTATAATAGTGAGCAGTGCTAGAGCGATGATGCGACGACGTCAGCGATAGCATGAACCAAATATTCTTATGGCTCGTTCATGAGCAATAGTTCAATGAAAAATAAACGTAATTAAGAAAACATTATACAAAAATTGCCATTGCAACGCCGTCCACTCGGCATAATAAAATAAAAGAGATTAAGTAAATGAAGAGGTTTAAAGTAAAAAAGAAAGAAGTGAAAATTGGGAAATAGATTTGAGGGGCCCCTAGTGACGGCAGTTTTGCTGATCGTACAAAGAAAATAAAGGTGAATGAATAAAAATACTGGGTGACTCATTCACAGTAAATTGAATTCCTCTTGTTCGCAGTTAGTAAATATCAGGTATAACTTGATATATAACAATAATAGAAGATATTCTATTATTTAAAAGTGCTTTATATACATACATATAAGTCATAACAACAGGTTTTTAATCGTGTTCCCGTCACCGCGGTGTAATGCTACGAAATGTCGCCACAGCACTGCCAATCACAACAACAAACACAAATTTACCACCTAGCACAATGCCGGCCGCAATTCCTACGTTCACGAAAAAATCTTTGTCGAAAACTACACAAATATCAGACGTTAGCGTTTGCGTTAGCACTAATAAATTTGCATGCAGCCGTTTTAGTTTCCGCTGCTTTGAGTCCGTCCATATCCGCTTTATCTACGAGTTCCAGAGATGACCCCTTTTCGGGTTTTTTCACACCCGCCAATACGCAAACTGTCGAAGATAGTTTAATATTACCGCTTACGCGACTACGGAGATCACCTCATCCTGCTCCAGAATCGATTAGTTCTCTCTATTCAGCTTTACCCGCAGCGCGTACTGGCAATTCTGCCATTTATTTCGGCATGTCGCCATCGTCGTCGGCTGCGCATGAAAATAGTGTCAACCAGATTGAACAGTATTCCGATAATCGCAAGCCAGCATTCAAAAACTGTGCCAGCTACAAACCATCTGTGAAGGAAGAGAGACCCGAAAACACTTTTGTTATAATGGTGCAGGCAGTGGATCCGGATTCGGATCAAGAAATTAAATATAGTCTTGTGCAATCGGCAGCTGAAAGATCGAAATTTCATATTGATCCAAAAACTGGTGTTATAGTGACTGCGCACATATTCGATCGCGATGAACCAATATACGAGAAAGCAGTATATGTGACAGTACAGGCAACGGATAACGGGCGGCCGCCCTTGGACGATGTGTGCACATTTAAAGTGACGATTGAAGATATCAATGATAATCCTCCAGTCTTCAATAAGGCGCGTTACGATGAATCAATGTCAGAAGATAAACAGGTAAGTTTCAACTTAAAAAGTCATTTCGTTTAAAAATGTTTAGAACAAAACTTAGTTGCCTGTTGCCGCGAAGGTGTTGCGTGTTGAATATGTGGACCCCAGGATTACTGCTATTTAACACCGGACCAACGTGGCAAACCCGGCTTCCATGTTTTGTTCAAAACTGGTGAATATAAGTTTTTACGGAATCATTTTTTTTTAAGTTCTGTAGCTTTTACCAACTATCGCAGTTTTGGCAATGAAAATGTATTTGTTAAAGTACAATAGGATATTGACGATACAATTTTGGATTTTATTCAAATGGATCCACTGTCGGCATTTTCCATCGGGTAAATTGAAATAAACTGATACCTAATTTATTGCAATAGCATACAAATTGTCGAAGTTAGACAACTTTTCTTAAATACGGCAAAAAGTGGTTTTTCAAAACATTTTAGAAAAATGGGGGTGGCACCGCCCACTTATATGATATGTATATGCGTATCCCAAAAACTACTTGACCGATCCCAACCAAATTTGGAATACACATTGTGCTTAGCCTCATTACGCACCGTCTGGAATATTTTTGAAATCGGACAAAACCCACTCCTCCTAAAATATAACTAGCTTTTAGTTATTTGAAATTACCTTTACGTGGGTGGAGCCCGTGGTTTTTGTCCGACTGATATAAGTGGGCGGTGCCACCGCCATTTTCCAAAATTTTTTTGAAAATCCAATTTATTTGCTAAAGAGCTATTAGATATATGTATATATATATCAATTTTGAATAAATATAAGCCGTTCGAGGTGACAACCTTTCATAAGGTTTATTAATAAATAAAACAAAACCTCTAAAACCTGCAAATCGTGAAGCATCTGGAACGCAATTAATTCAAATCTATAAATTCAAGGTTGTATTTAAGAAAAGTCGCCTTACTTCGAAAATTGTTATGAGATTGCAATGGTTGGCTTTCCATTTAGGGTTGCCAAATTTGAAACGGAGAAAGGAGTACATTTATATTTTCGATAGAAACAAAAGCAGTACATGACAAAAGAAAGGAGTACATTTTTTTTAAATTCTGTGTGCAGTTTATTGTTACAAATTACAATTAATTAGGTACACNGAAAAGGGTTGAATATTCATTTGCACGGGACATTTTATATACCCTTGATAACAAAAGAGGTGCCTGCCCCTTTTCCCCGGCAACACAGAAAGGAGAATTCTACTTAGTAAGGGTTATAATCCCTAAGCGCGCCCGAAGGCCGCCTACGCAGAAAGGAGTTAAGTGCAAAAATATTTGGATACCGAATCCGGAATTATATCCACAAGAAATGTTATACACTTTTGACAGAGAGTGAGGTTCCTCCTCTCTTCTCGGGCAACACAGAAAGGAGGATTCTACGTAGTAAGGGTTATAATCCCTAACCGAATTCTACGCAAAAATACTGTGGACGCAAGTGAAAATTGTGATTTTTGGCGATTTTTCTAAGGGGTCCCTGGGACCCATAGAGAGCCTAGGTGGGGGTTGGCGCCCACTCTCCCTTCGCTCACCGCCTCTTCAATGACCGCCCTCATAGGAAAGAATTCCAGACTCTTCCTGAATGTATGGCCATTTTTTTAATAAATAATTTAATATTTTTCTGATTTCTATATTCGAGCGCCCTGCACCNTAATCCAAAAAAGAAGTTTCATTTCATTTGAATAAAGTTTCATTTAATTTGAAAAAAGTTTCATTTAATTTGAATAAAGTTTCATTGAATCTGAAAAGGGTCTCATTTAATTTGAATAAAGTTTCACTGAATCTGAAAAAGGTTTCATTTAATTTGAAAAAGGTTTCGCTTAACATGAAAAAGGTTTCATTTAATTTGAAAAAGGTTTCGCTTAATTTGAAAATGGTTTCATTTAAACTGAAAATGCTATATATGGGTTGGCTTTCCAATAGGGGGTGGTAGTTAAAGAGATGGAGATCGAGGGGGGAGTGGACGTGGCACCTTTTCCGACCTTTTTGGAGAGGGCATGAACCGCCATTGACAAAAATGTTACTCCCGACCACCTAAGGCCCCTATGGTTCCCTAGGGAACCCTTAGAAAAATTACCAAAAGTCACAATTTTCACTTGCGTTTTTTCGTTTGAAAAGGGTTGAATATTCATTTGCACGGGACATTTTATATACCCTTGATAACAAAAGAGGTGCCTGCCCCTTTTCCCCGGCAACACAGAAAGGAGAATTCTACTTAGTAAGGGTTATAATCCCTAAGCGCGCCCGAAGGCCGCCTACGCAGAAAGGAGTTAAGTGCAAAAATATTTGGATACCGAATCCGGAATTATATCCACAAGAAATGTTATACACTTTTGACAGAGAGTGAGGTTCCTCCTCTCTTCTCGGGCAACACAGAAAGGAGGATTCTACGTAGTAAGGGTTATAATCCCTAACCGAATTCTACGCAAAAATACTGTGGACGCAAGTGAAAATTGTGATTTTTGGCGATTTTTCTAAGGGGTCCCTGGGACCCATAGAGAGCCTAGGTGGGGGTTGGCGCCCACTCTCCCTTCGCTCACCGCCTCTTCAATGACCGCCCTCATAGGAAAGAATTCCAGACTCTTCCTGAATGTATGGCCATTTTTTTAATAAATAATTTAATATTTTTCTGATTTCTATATTCGAGCGCCCTGCACCTACCTTGCGGCCATGCTTACACTTTTTCACTATCACACTTAACTTTGCTTACTAAGTAGTGTTTGCCACAATATGAATGGCAAAGTACAGGGCGTAAAATAATAACTGTCGCACAGGTTTTTTGAAAAATAAAAGGGTTCTTTATAGGTTTTGTTAAACAAAGTTTTTTTTTTACTTTGTGAATATTTTACTTTAATTTTATTAATTGGTTTTAAAATTTTAATTCTTATTTGCATTTGCCAGCTTTGGGAGATAAGTACATGCGGCACACATCTCTTNGATTGGGCAGAGCACACTTAAATTCCAGTCGTCGGGCATGCGTTCATCTGACCATATTCTGCACAAGAGTTGATGCATGCACCTTATCAACTCCTCGCCGCCGTACTTGAATAGCTCAGCTGGCAGGCTGTCAGCTCCAGCGGCTTTGTTGTTTTTCAGCCGCGTTATTGCTATACGTACCTCGTCATAGTCAGGCGGTGGAACGTCGACTCCGTCATCATCGACTGCGGGCTCGGGTTCTTCTTCTCCACAACTTTCTGTGCTGCTGCCATTTAGTAGGGCGGAAAAGTGTTCCCTCCATAATTTAAGTACGCTCTGGACATCAGTTACTAGGTCGCCCCTCCTAGTGGGAGGAAATTAGCCTATGGTTACAGAAGATATGTAATAAAGTAACCGACGAAGACTTGCGTGCCGCTTGCGCTTTTCTCCCAAACCCCCCTGGTAAACCCAAATTAAGGTTGAATTTAAAAACTATGCAATAACGACTTTTTTACTTGCGCTTATCTCTCAAAGTGTTTATCGCCAGTAAACCCAAAATGGAGGTTAAAATTTAAAAACAAATCAATAAAATTGAAGTAAAATCTGCGGATAATTACCAATGAACTAATTTTTTCGCAAAATCTATAAAGGCCAATTTTATTTTTCAAAAAAAAACTGTGCAACAGTTGTTATTTTATACCCTGTATATAATAAAATATTAATAGCTGGAAAAAGGAGTACAAAAGAAGTACAAAACTAATAAAGGAGTACATTTCCAGATATTTTTTTTTTGGGAGTACATGGGAGTACATTGCAATAAAAAGGAGTACGTTTACTCATTCCAAAAACATTAAAAAAAGCTGTGACAAGAATGGTAGATCAGATTTCAGATTTTTGCGTGGAAAATGGTTCAAAGTAAATCATAAAAGCATAATTTATGTTGAAAATTCAAGTGTTTACTTTATATTTCTATAATTGTATAAAAATCATGAAATTCAGCCGAGGTATATACCGTTTAGTGATCATTTGCTAAAGATCATCCACTTGTATTTTTTTAAGGTATTTTTCCCTCATAAGCTTTATGCACTTCATATTGTTTTATGGTTAACCATTGAAAATTTTTATTCAGTATGTTCAGTTTCAATCAAAATAAAGTTAATAAAAAAAAAATACATGTAAACCCACGTTTAAAACTTTGCAGAAATTAAAAACAAAATTCAACTAATTTTCATACAAATTTCAAGCTTATTTACTCAGAAGTGTTAAATATTTTTTGAGTATGCAGTTTTATAGACCATTAAATTTTAGTGTGATAATGTGCAACAATTTATTTTTATTATAAAATAATTTAAATTAGCATTGAACAATTATTTATTATTTTTATTTTTTTCGCTTAAAAATAAATAATATTGAGTTTTATTTTTTCGCTCAGTGAAAATAATTATTATTTGATTTTTAATTTTTCGATCACAAATAATGATTTTTGATTTTTATTTTTCCGCTCAGAGATAATAATTAATATCGAGTATTATTTTTCCACTTAAATACAATGATTATTTATAAAATTTAAAAAGCTATAAGGACTGAAATTTTTACCTGAAATTTTTGGGACTTACTTATTCCTTTTATTGGGGCACCCTCTGAAAAGGATATGTATATCGGAAATGAAGTTGGTACAGCTTTTGAGTTTTCTGAATGATCATTATTTTTAAGTGAAAAAATAAAACTCATCCTTATTTTTGTTCGAAAAAATATAAATGAGGTAAAAATAATTTCCTCAGGGTGAAAAAATAAAACTTAAATATTAATTATTATCTTTAATCTTTATTGGTTAAACTCGAGAAATAAAAATCATTATAAATTCCAGTAGGACGTACGAATACAAATAAGTGATTATAGTTAAAATTGTTTTCGGACGATTACAACTTGTTGATCTTTTTGATTAAAATCTAAAAAATAATGATTATTTTCGGTTCCTGCTAAAAACATAAAAATAATAACCTCTAAAATTTGTGCAAACCTCAGGAGAATTTAATAAATAAAAATTTTCGCCTGAGGCGCTTTTTCTTATAAAATCGATACATC